TATTTCAAATGCTATTTCTGTACTTCAGATACAACTGCAAGTCATACCCAGTGACTGTTGTCATTTTGTTGAGTGTTGTTACAGAAAGCAGTATAAAAATAAAAATGTAAACAGATCAACCGTGGCTGAGAAAGGAAAAATCACAAATGACTCTGCAGAGTGTTTTAGCCAGTAGGGTCTTTAAAAGGGGGTCAAAGAAAGCAGAGTTACTGAAGAAATCTTAGACCTTGAAAACTGTCATTTGTCCTTAAAAAGTCCTTTAAAATTTGTCTGAAATTGTACAAACCATGACTCTGGAAGAAGACCCTGAGACACTGAGTTGACAAATGAAATTAGGCTCTGCTGGTAGGCAGCATGCAAAGAAAGAAGTGTCCAGTAACCTGGGGCATATGGATTTTGATATCGGGCTGGTGATGGTGGTGGTTAAATCACAGCAGAACTGTAATCAAACCTGCTCCTCAAAATTCATTTAGGCTACATGCAGTTGAATGACTTTTGTGCTAGTACATGTCGTACAGCTTGCCCAAAAGGCAGAGCCTTTCTTTTTTCTTTTACCCAAAAGGCAAGCTGTAAAAATGGCCTTCTTTGCATACTGGTAGGATGGCGGTTATCTACACTACACTTCATATTGTAAAGTTTGGTAGAGTTGTTGTAGAGTTTATGAAAGTGTACAATTTTGCATCCAAAGTCCGTTAAAGCTTCAAAAATTCAGCCCCAACTTTGAAACAACAAAAAGGTCTCCAAAATTTAAATTACCTGGGTCTCATAGGCAGATCCTGGAGAGGAACGAAGGTATCTGGTACATACTTTAGAGATCCCCTACAAACACAACAAAAAAAGATGTCAAATCATTGATTTGTAGAATCATACTTACCGGTATTCAACATTTTGGTGTACATGTATCCATGGATACATAGAAACATCAAATGATGTTACTTCTAATTATTTTTTCTTGTTTTAACAATGCTTTTACAAGCACAATTCATTACACTGAACTTTATATCACCAGGAAAAGAGGCACATTAAATAAACATCTTAGTAAGTGGGAAAAGTTAATCAATATCATGTGATCTCATTAACAATTGACTATTGTACATAAATATTAAGATAATGTACATTCTATCAACTTAGACATTGTCTGCTGCAATATTTTTTTGTTTTTACTTTTTGTTTTGTTTGTTCGTTTGTTTCCTCTTTACATTAGGCAGCGTGCAAAAAAAGTAGTGTCCGATAGCCCGGAGCAAGTGGATTTTGCTATTGGGCTAGTGAATTCTGTATTTTGAGGAATTCAACTTACAGAAGAACCCAAAAAATTTGGGGGGCTAGTAAATGCGAGCTTCAGCTTACCCAAATGGCAAGCGGTAAAAATGACTTTCTTTGCACCCTGTTAAGTGTACTTTGTAAGACACTGAGACGTTTGTAAATCTAATTTAAGTAAAAAAATGTGGAATTACCTGTTACAATAAAACTTCTTGTATTGCATGTATTAAAGCAAACACCCTCAAGGAAACCTCTAGTGTCCACTAAATGCAGATTTTAATATGGTACCTTGTATATAGATGATGCCTTATAAGGTGTCAAATACCATTCATAAATAAACAGTGCAAATAATTATTTGGGATGCTCCAAGAAGAGACTGATGCTATATTAAACAAATGAAAATCTATTGTAGTTGTGGATGACTATAGACGTTGTTTCCTATGTAATTAACAGCACAGCATTGTGGTCTATCTCATACCCAGATCTCCCACGGCCAAGGGAAAGGGAGATCTCACTTTTCAGCATAAGGCAGAGTGAGATCTGGGTACAAGCTTAAGATTACATTGTGGCAATGGAACCTGGAGGTCCTTTCAAAGCCAAACAAGGAAATGTTGAAGTCTATGATTGGATTTTCTGACATTTTATTGTTACATCAGGAGAGTTGCCATTAACAATAGATGGATAGTTCTTGCCCAGTTTTACTAATGGATGAGAAAGAAATAGTAAGTTCTTACCCAAAGTTAATAACCGGTCTTGTGCTGCCATGTTTGTGGAAATCCGGCGAATATTCTGGTACCTGATAACTCTTGTCTCCTAGTGATGTGGCTGGAATGCCATTTCTCTGGTTATATACTAAATCAAGAACATTGTAAAATACAGGTAACATTATTAGTGACGAATTTAGATGTAAATTCTATTTTGTCTTTACTACATGTACTTTTCCTCAACCTTAGAGAGAGAAATAGTCATCCTTACCCTTCATTACTGTACATAATCCCCACCCCAATAAACTAAGGGTTTTGAGTCTCTACAATGCCTCAGTATGGATCATAAATAATAACAAAAAGAAGAATAATTATTAACAAATTTTAATCATTAAATAATAATTATAATAAAAAAATTTAATTGTTTTTTATACCTTCTCTTTTAGCTCCAACAGACATTCTTAAAGAAATTTCTAGTGGTCTCCTGGCATAAATTTTCTCAAAATCATCATAAGTGTCATACTCAATCTGGGTCCGGTGTTGTGTAGGCCTCTCTTCCAGCAATTCTTTCTGGAATGGTACTGTTCTTGGTGCTATTTCAGGAACCTGAAAAGCTTAAAAAAGGACACAACGAGTAAATTTTGCTTTCATTCCAAAAAAAAGGAAGTCAATAAACATAGAATATCAAACTTGGGTCTCTCACTTTTTATAGGTCATGTTGACCAGTGCTTCCTAGTAATGCAGTTCTCGATATTGACTATTCTACAGTTAAGCTTAAGCTTAAAAGTGATACGTCTAAAGCAAGCCGCCTGGTTAGCTCAGTTGGGAGAGCGCCAGTCTGCTGAGTGGGAGGTCACAGGTTTGAACCCTGGCCGGACCAACACTCAGGGTGTTCAAATAACTGAAAAGAAAGTGCTGCCTTTGTAATGACATCTGCAAATGGTTAGACTTTCTAGTCTTCTGGGATAAGGACGAAAAACCGTAGGTCCTGTCTCACAGCACTTACACTTATCTGGTTCTTGTGGGACTTAAAAGAACCCACATCACTGTTCGAAAAGAGTAGGACATAGACCCCGGTGTTGTGGTCAACCTTCACACATCATTCACATCATGGTTTGGGTGGGTACAGTAAGCTCACAAATGGACTGAGAGTGGCTGCCAGTGGCGCCTTTGTATGCTGACATCCAAGCTTGTACATTTCTGTTCACATATTATGTAAGAGGGCACGTCTGTTGTCCTCTCATCCACGACTCTTCATTTTTTCACTCTTCATTTCATTTCATTCAAGTGAAGATTTCTCACCTTTACTTGAAAAGTTTCCTAATTTTAAGCTCTTTAATTTCCAGCTGTGTCAATGGATATTCACTAACAGGTCCTGGTTGTTCAAAAGTTGGATAGTGCTATCCACCGGATGAATCGCTATCCAGTGGATAAGTATTATGAAAACTAACTGCGTTATCCACTGGATAGTGATTTATGCAGTGGATAGGGCTATTCACCTTTTAAACAACCGGGGCCTGTGGCCCATTTCTCAAAAGTCCAGGTAACTTTTCGGGCCCGAAATCAAATATTCAAATCGAAATATAAAGAATAAGGGCGCGGGTCCTGGCTAGCAAACTACTCCATTTTATTTCATTAACTGACAGTTTTATCGTGTTGGAAGCAAAACTTTTGAAACCTTGATCTTTAATATAAACGGAGACGGCTTACCAGACCCGTTAATTATCGGGACTTTCGAGAAACAGGCCCCTGGTCTTTATCAAAACTTGAAGAAACAGTAAAAGGTTCTCTTCCAAACCAAACCCAAAGAACTCTTAGTGTGTAGCTGTGTTTTTCGTTGTTTTGTTTTGTTTTTGCCAGCAATTTACAATACAAGAGGTAAGATATGGATGTTATAACAGGGCAGTGAGCCACACTAAAAATTTCAAAGATCTCAAGAATTAAAATAATGAATCACACAACTACCTTGTTCCCTCAGTGAACTGTTGCTGTCATTTGTACTGTAATGTGCTGGCACTTGCAATAGTCCTTGCTTTGGCACAGAGTATGTACGAGGTGAAGTATCCTCCAGAGAGGCACATCGGAGACTAGAAAACCAGTCAAGCCCATTGCCACCTCTAAATAAAAGCATTGGTAACAAAGAATTTCTATGAGGTTTTCAATAGGCCAATCTTTGCTGATATCAAAACAATGGGAACACTTCTGTACTCATTTAAGTTAACCCATAGAGATCCGTGTTGAAAAGACCAAGATCTTGGGGACTGAGCCATCCCTTTCTCTCATGAACAAATCAAAATGTTTACAAAGAATCTAGGGTTAAGTCATGCATGCAAGATCTCTGAACCGGGACCAGCTTAGCAAATTGGGTTCATACAAAAAGGCCCTTATGCTCGGACTCAATGTTGATGCTACATCAGCCATTAAAACCAAAGGATGATTTCTTATTTATTTTGTTGTGCCAAACTTCTGGTCACTGTTCATGATAATCAGAATGTTAGCATTCATGTTCCTCAAGAATGCTATCAGCTTAATTCCAAAAGAGTTGCCAATTTAGAGAGTTGCTATCATAAGAAGTTACATGTAGGTACCCAATGGATGTAGTCCTTGATTGGAGGGTTATTTAAAATACCGAATGTTTCAAAGACCTACATGTACATGTAGAGCAGTAGTCATTATAAGAGTCAGTAAATGGTTGCAAAGAAAGTTGGCTGAGTCCTACTCACTTCACTGTGTTGTCAAGTCTGTCGGGTACCGACAAAGCATTTCTGGGATGAGGTCTCCATTGTGGCTCTCCTATTGACTTGCTTCCAAATCCATCCTTGTAATATGGTTTGATAATTGGGCGTAAAATATGTGTGTCGAAGCCTGTTCACAGAACAAACACACAATGAAGAAATATTCTCTGAGTTAATATTCACAGCTGAAGAAGTAATGGATTTTAAAGCCTCAAATCAAATCAACCCCAAAAGGTATTAGAACCCATGATCATGTCTTAGTCAGCACTGCACCCACTTTTGTTTGCATTTTACTGCCGCTTTTTCATGTTGCTTGCGAACTGTTCTGATTAGAATTTTTAATTGGTCATATAACTATTCTCTAATACACAGCAAACAACTTGCCACGTTAAACTATTTATACACATGTACAACGTTTGCATTTGGTAATAAAGGTAAGCAATCATTAAAACATTTTTTTTAGACGTATAAAACGTTATTTGCCTGCAAAATACGAGAGAAATAACGTAGAAACTAATGCACCCAGGGAGGGTGGCGTCCAGTATACTGAGTGTCAAAAGCTTCTCAAAACTCTGCTAATAACTTCCAATATGACCTTGAGAATTTATTTCACAAATTATAAGTCTGTGGGATGAAAATTCCGATGCGTAGTTAAGCTTAATCTTGTCTTCTAATCACGATAATTAAGCTAAAAGGGCTCATCCTCGGTGTAAAAACCTGTGAAGAGCTATCAAAGCTTTTTGCAGTGCGATATACAGTTTCATTTTGCATTTTTAATCCGTCTAAAACGTTTACTGTTTTGCGTGGAGAAAAATTTAAGACATTTAATGCAAGTTTTTACCTTGAGAATCCGAAGGGTGAAGCACCTCCGCCATATTTGTTGTTTTTGGTATTCCACGTGTTTGGCGTCTCTCACCATGGCAACAAGCTTAAGAAGCGCTGTACGTGAGAATTTGTTAATTTCGGGGTGTTTTCCTCTCCTTTTTCTTCTCATTTTTTGATAATTAAACTTTCTGTTTTTTATTTGAAAAAAGATAGTGTGAAACAATATCCTAATGTTACCTTAAAATGGTGAAAGAGCAATTTTCTTTATCATTTCTTTTTTCGCACCAGGTGCACCCATGCGATATTGGCCGGGAGAGCCTGAGTTCCATCCTAAAAATTTTTTGAATGGATCGAATGAATACACTTCCGATGTAAAGGAAAGTGTGAGCGTTGTTTTACGAGCAAACACCTTTAAAATGCGATCTAGCAGCAGCGGAACGACAGGAATAAAAAGAAAGGCTTCTTGCCTTGAAGACGGAGAGTCTTCAATTTCAACAAATACAAACTCATTGTCAAGCTCGCGAAGAGCTTTCATTAGAGCTTCGAATCGTGGAACGCTGAAACGCGCAGGGCCGTATTTACTCGGTCCTAGATTGGGCAATTCACCAGTGCGAAGCATCGTTCAGTGTTTAGCGAAAAAGGATGGTACAGATGACTTTTACTCGATCAAAATTCTTACGCTAGCGGACGCCGGCCGCGAGAGCCAAGACGATAAACAAGGAAAAATGTTGCTTCATACCGAGTATTCACTTCTCTCACTTTTACACGATCAAGATGGCGTCGTTCACCACCATGGACTTTTCAAAGACGAATACTACGAGGAAATTCCCCTTGAGAAAGATTCTTCTTCTACTACAACGGTTCATCGATCTCAACAAAATTCTGTTGCGAGACAATATCGTATTCGACATCGTCTATGTTTGGTTTTGGATTGTCTTTGTGCGCACGACTTTAGCTCAGATACAGCAGATTTGATTAACCTTCAACATTACGTGATCAGAGAGAAACGATTGTCCGAAAGAGAGACAATTATCATTTTTCACGACATTGTCAGAGTGGTAGAATGCTTGCATAAGGTGAGGCTAAATAAATGAAGTTACCGACTGATATCTTTAGGAAATTTGGTTGAAAACCCTGCTGATTAAATTACAGCTTTTAAGTTAAAATATTGCTGTGTTGGTTGTGATTCTGTTTTAATCTTTTTACCGTCGAAATTCTTGGTCAAAATTTCAGCTTAGTTTTCACTTTAGGAACCTTACATTTTTGAGCATTACAAATTCTTCTGCTTTTCTGTACTACGGGTCTACGGGAACGTAGGTCACAAGTGATTTCAGAGGAATAATCGTTTTCGCGTAGGTGTCGATTTCCATCATGTAAGTTATTCTAATCACGGATTGACCTCAGCTCTTTGAGTTTCAGTCGAAAAATTTTTACCACATTCTCAGATTACAGGGAAGTTTAATTTAAAAAATACCATGTTATTCACCAGCTATAAAAATATCGGACGATTAAGATTTCAAGATTTCTGAGAGCGGATATTCTTAAAATTTTCTTTCGTGGGCGTAAGTAACAAACTTCAAAGCAGGAAATGAGTGTCTCGTTTAACAGGTTACACGCCTACACTGTAGTTAATGTAGTTAAGTCTGTTTGGAGTTCAGTGATCTAAATACGTGGGCAGAAAAGATATTGACGTGATCAAAGCTACAATTTCCTTCCTTGTTTATCT